CGCAATATAAATATAATATGAATTGAGCGAGTATTCTACTCGAGCCAATCATCATCGCGGGAAGAGCGTTGACATAGGGTTATCTTACTATCTAATATACCAGGAGCTGATTCAGCGTCCGGAGCTCTATCTGTATACCATACTTACGTAAAGATTTTACGAGGCCGCCTCTACCTCATTCTACACAACTACATTAACTACATTGAAATACCCTATGGGCCCCGTTCAGGTCTCGCACCCTCCTCCGCCTTGCATACTAAGTGTCCGCACCCGATCTAACCAACTACTCGCCCAACGTTTTATTTGTTTTTGGCCCCAAAAAATGTGATGTTTCCGACTTGAGAAGGCCACCAAGATACGCTTTTTTTCCCCATGACCCCTTGATAGAGGATTACTATCAAACATCGGGACCAACAATTACAGGGTTGGCCATACTACTTCAACTCTACACGATTGCGCCTTTATGGCATGCAGGTGGCAGGGCAATATAAACAGCCGGCATCCTCCTTCTCCTACATGGTTATCCTCTCAGAAAATTACTAATTGGACCCTATCTTCATATCTTACAAACTCGCCCTGCGCTATCAATATCTCTTCTTTCGGTTTCTCTCTTCTCTCAAGCCATTCTTCGCCTTAGAAACTTACTAAGTAATAACGGGTGACTTGAAATATTGACGGGAAAACATGCTACTGACAGCGCTGTCAGATCCCTCGCTATGCCTACATTTTCCCCCAACATCTTTCTTTGTAAATAACCCGATCAAAGACTATAACTTTATTACTTATATGATATCTAATGGAGTAAACGTGGAATTAGAGCCTAATACATTAGAAAGAAGTCTCTCGCTCGATTTTGCGAATTATATTCAAAGAAGATTAATATATCTTAATTAGAAATGTCTAATCAATACGTTATATAACCGAAGCTGGCTTATTTATTAAAACCACTACTTACATATTAAAGAAAACAGGCGATATATACGCTATAAAAATTGATTTCTAAAGCATTTACAACGCCTTTTATAAATTATAGAGAGAATTTATTAGATAGTATACTTAGACTTAGCTACGCGCGGTTAAAATAGAATTATTACTAAGTACGTAGATACTTAAATTTACATACTTAAGTTATAAATTGCAAATTAAATAAGAATACTTAATAAAGCTAATCTAGCTTCACCTTCGACTTTTTATTAGCGTTATTTATAGAAAATTATAGAGAACGTACTTACTACTCTTATAATAGTTACTATTATCTATTATCTTAATTAAATATTTATAATATCGAAGCTAGTAGATATATACGCTTTTTCTAGTATTTTATCTCTAACTTAAATTATTAAAACTATATAGACTAAAGACTATTAAGTATCTTTCTTCGTACTCGTATTCGTCTAACTATAATTCTATCGAATTAATATTTAGCGTTCTTAAGGCGTAGATACGACGTTATTTTAAGATCTTTCGATACGTCTTTAGACTATTAATCGTATGGGAATACGCTATACTTACGCGTTAAGATAATCTTCGCGTTAAAGTAGTCTATACTAAGTATAGCGTATTCTCATACGATTAATAGATTAAATTATAGTATTATTCTTTATCTACTAAGTAGTAATTTAACGTAAAATCGTAGAGAGTATATATCGTAGAATTTTAGAGAGCTAAGTCGTATTCTTAATAATAATAGTCTTATTATTACTTAGTCTCTTCGTAGTATTCTTCGCATTTATCTATTATAATAATTTCTTCTCTTATTTAATTAAGTACTCTAATTAAGTAGCTAACTAAGTAGATAATTAAATAAATTAATATAAGACTATAAAGAGTAAATCTATTATATTACTACTACTATTAACTATCTTCGTAAAATTCTTTATAAATAACTATTATAATTTATCGAGTTAAAAAAAATAGAATTACTATTATTATAAATACTAAGTTTATAAAATAATAAAAAGATAAAAACTTAAATTATATTCTTTATAAAGGGGGTAATAAAAGAATTTAATTTATAAGATTAAATATAAAGAATATATATTTATAATAATATCGATATACGTCTTAATAAAGAAGATATAAAGCTATTATAATTAAAAGCGAATATAAAAGCGCTTAAATAAATATCGCTATAAATACTCTATAATATAATAAAGAAAGATTAAAACTTTATATTAATCGCTATAAATAAAATCTTTATAATCTCTTCGCTATCTTTATAATTATAAATACTATTTAAATTATTATTAAAGCTTAAAAAAATAGCGTATATTATTTAATAGATAATTAAAGAATTTAAAATTTAGATCTTAAAGTCTTTATATACTTTTTAAGCGATAAAATTTTAGTTTTTAAAATTAATTAAATCTATATTTAAGATAACTAGATAAAAAAATTAAAGAATTAAAAAATAGCGTTTAATAAATTATTTATTAATTATAAAATTATAATAATTATAATAAAAATAATATTTTAAATTACTCGAGAATTTAAATAATAAAAATTATCGCTTTTATTTCTATAAAGAAATTAGATATAAATCTTATATTTAAAAATATTATAGATATTCTTAAAGAAAAACTTAATAAAAGAGTAAATAATTTATAAGATATTAATAGTATAATTTATAAAATAATTTATAAAGAATAATTATAAAGCGAAATAAAAACTTAAGTATAATTTATAGCGTAATTATCTATAATTATAGAAGAAAAGATATCTTAAATTACTAAACTTTAAATTAGAGAAAAGAATAATTAGTATATATAATAGAATAAGATAGGGCTAAACTAGAAAACCTTGAATTTATATATATAGTCAATTATTAATTTATTAGGTCTACGCTTTTTAGTTAAATACCGCGGGTAAATAAATTAGCGTCCGCAACCATCAATAATCTCTCTCTCTACTTTTAACCCTTTAATAACTTTATTATTTTCTATTAAAATTTTATAATTTTTTTTAAATTATAGCTCGTAACTTGCGCTTTTTAATACTTTAAGAATTTTAAAATTCGATCTTATAATTATTAAAAAGTAAGATACTCAAATATCGCTTATTAAAGATCGCTTATTAAATTTACTCGATAGCCCTAATAAAAAATAATTCTAAATTTAATTTATAGGCCTTTACTCGTATTTATTAAAACGTGTAAAAAATAGTCTAGAGATATATATAATTAATTCTATTTTAATAATATTATAACTAAATATCTTATTCTTAATAAAAAATTAATAAAATAATTTTTTATAAAAGTTAGATATATAAATTATAGCTTTATTAAGATTTTAAAAAATAATTAAAAAGAGATATATATAGATTTAAAAGATATTCTTAAAGTAATAATAGACTACTATTAAAATTTTTATAATATAAAACTCTTAGATAAAAATATTTAAAATAAAATTTTATAATATATAATAAATCAAATAAACTTAATAAATATTATTAAAATAAAAGATTTTATTAAAATTTAAAAGATATAAATTATTATTTATTAGATATTCTTAAAAACCTCGCTAAATAAAAATAATCTTTTAGATAAATTCTATAAAACTATTATAAAATACGAGAAAAAGAAAAAAGAAAAAAATTTTAATTATTATCGCGTAATTAATCTTCTTCTATAATTAAATATAGCGAAAGTAAAAACTCTCGAAATATTAAACGAATAAGATTTTTATTATTCTTTTTAAAAATAAAGATAAATAAATCGATATTAAGAATTATCGCTCTCTATCTATTATAAATATAAATTATAAAATCTTTATAAAAACCTTAATAAAAAATTTAATAAAAAATTTAAATAAAATAATTAGCGAATAATAGTTAGCTTTTTTATTAAAGAGATTTATAAATAATAATATTAAAATAATTTAATACTTAATAGTTAAATATAAATTCGCTAAAAAGCTATTATAGAAATAAAGAGAAATTAACTATTCTCTTTCTCGATTAAGAAAAGATATATAATTAAATTAATTATAAGTTTCTTTTAACAATTCTAAAAGAATTAAATATATTTAAAAAATTTATTATTTAAATATAACTTATTTATAAGAAAGCTAAAATTAAGATCTATATTAATAATTATATTAAAAAAAATTATAATATAAAATAATATAAAATAAGAAAACTCTCTAAATTACTCTCTATTTATAACTATAATTAAAGATCTAGCTTGATATATTATTTATAATTCTTAAATTTTAAAAATATAAATAAAGAATAGAATATTAAAAATAATAATATATATTAATAATATTATAATTATTATATAATTTTAAAAAAAGATAAATATTATAATAGTAATTTTAAGAGTTTATTATATTATAATTAGCGTAAGAATTAATTAAAATAAATTATATATACTATATATAAAAAATATCGTTTATATTTATATTATCGATATAAAAGAAATTTTCTTTAATAACTTCTATAAATATTTAAAAATATTAATTAAGATAAATATTAATTATTAGTTAGATAATTTTTAAATTAAAATTTTATAAAAGATTAAAAAATTAATATAAAATTAATAATAATTTTATTTATCTTTTAAAGATAGAGTAATAATCGAGATTATCTTTATAATATCTTTTTTTTAAATTTATCTTATAATTTTTATATATACTCTTAATAATATATTATAAATTAAAAAAAAAAATTATAATTAATATAGAATAAAAAAGTTCGAGATATTATTTATAATAGGGGCTATTAAAGTTACTTCTACTATTACGAATAGTAACTATCTAATATTATAAGTAGTTACTAGTTCCTTGATAGCACCTTACTATTAGATAGTAACTATTCAAGTCTAATTCGTAATCATAAATACATATTAACCGTTTTGATGCATAGGGCCTTATATGGGGCCTTGGCGACGGAGAAATCTTCTCCGCACAAATGCCATGCGCATGCCTACATCTATGCACTATAGCTATTACCTCTTCCCATAGCCATTAATATTGCTGTCGCTATTTCTCATCACCGTCATCATGTCTACCCCAAAGACGTCTCGCAAGAAAGCTACGCCCAAGGTTACCAAGCCAGAGCTCCCTACCGATATGAAGCTCCCTGCGGCCAAATGGACGGATAACGATAGAAGTCTCATCGGTCTTCTTCTTACAGCCCTCGAGGAGGACAAGTATGTCAAGCGTGCTATTTGGCCTGCTCCAGAAGATAAGAGCACCAGCATAAAGAAGGCCGTGGCCTATCGCGATATAGCCGATACCGTTTTTAGCGAACTTTCTTTCTTCGCCGAGTACTTTTAATATAAAAACGCGCTTTCTTATTACGGCAAGGCAGTTGGAGCTCAGATCACGGTTCTTGAAAAGGCATACCACAAGGCGAAGGATATCATGGGTGTTACCGGTGGTGGGCTCGACAGTGAGGAAGAGATTACTGCAGGCACACCAATGATGGACAAATGGAAAGCAGCTCAGGAAGTATGCCCTGAGTTCTATCGACTTAAGATCATGCTGGGCGAGCGCATGAATGTCAGCACTCATACCATTAACAACAGTGGTCAGAGCATCGATCTCACAAGTGTTCTTCCCGGTAGCAGCAGGCGCGCTGCTCGGAGCGCATCCGATAACGAAGTAACTACGCATTCAGACGCTGCAGCAGAAGAGGAGGATGAGGACGCAGAGGGTGACGATGATAACGATGATATAGTTGAGACAACAGAGGATGGAGTCCCCACGATCGCCGTTACGGAGGCCTCCCCGCGTAAGAATAAGGGTAAAGAGAAGGTCTCTCGCAGTTCTAGCCCTTCGACCAGATCTCAATCAATCTCGCCGAGTCGTAAGCGTGGTCCGAGCGAATTTGAACATCTCCTGGATATCGTGGAGCAGGGGGAGTCTAGAAAACGTCGTCGCGATATAGGGATCGAGCAGACCAAGCGTCTGGAGTCACAGGAGGAAACCAGACGACAAGCAGGAAAAGACTCGTTGGAACTGCAGCGTCTGAAGCTGGAAATGGCTGAGCGTCAGGCTGTTCGTGAGCATGAAATGACTATGGCAAAGCTACGTATATACGGCGTGGAAGCAGTGGCTATGCCATTGGAGAGTAGCATGAAGAAGATGAATATCAATGTCAATGCTATGGAATCTCCTGGTACTTTGAACGCGGCCGGCGATGCAATTGGGCCGGTGAATGGAGCACTTGAAGACATTTCGTCCATTGACTATCAGGAATGGATGGAACAAGAAGACAAGGTGATTTAACAACGCATTTCTATAATTTCGAGATTGGCAAAAAGCATGTGCATCTTTATGGGCCCAGACTAGCTACAATACACTCATTTTAGGGCAAATCTATGGGCGCAATCGCTCTTCAAGTCCCCTTATTATGCATGTGATTTTAATCGTCTCATATTATAAAATGCC